TGTGTGTGGCGAGACCGGTCATAATGCGCGAACCTGTTCTAAGGATACGGAATTATCAAATGATTCGAGTAGTAATGAGGGATAGTTAATTCAATGTGTTGTGGTTGTGCAATAGTAAATACCATTACGTGCATGGGAAAAAGTTCGTCGCTGACTGATATTCGTCGCTGACTGATGAACCACGTTATATTTTTTAAATAATATTATATTTAAGAAGGTATATTATAATAAATTCCATTATTTAAAACTTTACTACCCGTCACGTAATCTTAATTACCTAATTATTAAGATTTTTTTAGTTATTTATATTATTTATTTTAAAATAAGCCTCGTAGCTATTCCTTATTTTTAATATATAACCGTTCTTTATTACACATCTTGATGCCTACATTGTGACTATACGACAATCGAGAATTACGTCTACCTTGTCGATGGCGCCCGCGTCTTGAGCCCGGCCGGGTTGTGGATAGATTTAGTACGGACATCGGGAACAAGCGTCCTACGGCAAGGGCGATACGGGCATTAGTTTTCTCCGGACGGCAAAGAGATCAGTAAAAACTTCCAGAGTCGTAGTGCTGCATTAAGCTCCCAGAAGGAATTCGATGGTATTGTAAAAGCAGATCACTCGTGGGAGAAGGAGGCGTCTTCCGTCGCCCGGCTACGGTGGCTGACGCCGATGAGAGGGTGGTGTGTTCGTGTCCCGTTCTGAACGAAGGATCCGTGGAACTCCGGAAGGCCGACGGACTTTTCGCTTGCGGTGCCGGCGTCCCGAATGACACACAACTTGTTGCGACCCGCTCCGCACGGCTTACGCAGTCCGGTTAGTGTCTCTAGCCAGCCAGTCAAGCCAGTTCCGCCTATTCAGCCCTACACAAAAGCTTGTCGCGCGGGAAAGAAAGCTTGAGCTTTGAGGCCAATCTTTGCCACCGCGACGCGAGATGAACTCGTTAGTCTAACCCGTTATTTAGAGTAATGCTTCCCGGCCGCGCGCGGTTTACTTTCTAATGCCGAGCGCGCGGCGCAGTGAGGGGAGCCATGTTTTGGGCTTGCTTACTACGCAAAAGAATGCATGCTCAGCGTCTCGCAGTGGCGCCGCCCCTAAGTATCTAAGTGTGTACTTGAGTGAGAGTATGTATGTCGAGGTAACTTACCGGTTCTGGCATGTTGAACGATGCGGTTGGGCACAATGTTTGTCTGCTTTTCTTTGTTCACCCGTCGAACAGTATATAACAGTCTCAACCCCAGACATCATCCCAACTTTCTCAAGACCCAGAGTCAATATCTAAGCACTACATCAGCTTTATCTTCTTCAGCAAACCATCTCAAAGGTCAAGCCCATCAATCCCACCCATACACAATGCACGCAGCCCTCGTCAACACCTGGGGCTCACCCCCAACCTACACAACCGTCCCGGACCTCCCAGAATCATCCTCAACACAAATCCGCCTCCGCGTCCTCGCAACAGGCGTCCACCGCCTCGTCCTCTCCCGCGCCTCGGGAAAACACTACACGGCATCCACTCTTCCGCACCTCCCCGGCGCAGACGGCGTAGGCGAGGACCCGACCACCGGCCAGCGCTACTTCTTCACCGCCCTCGCGACAGGCACCTTTGCGGAATTCGTCAATGTCGAGCGAGCCGCGGTTGCACCACTTCCAGAGGGCGCGGACGCGGCTGTCGTCGCTGCGTTTATGAACCCCGTCATGAGCAGCTGGATGGCGCTGTCTGCGCGCGCGGCGCCGCAGGAGAAGGGGTTCACTGTTGCGATTCTGGGAGTGACGAGTGCGAGTGGACGGGTAGCTGTCGATATTGCTCGTGCCAAGGGCGCGGGACGAATTGTTGGCATTGCGAGGAACGCTGCTGCTATGGAGGAGATTCCGATTGACGAGCGCATCGTTCTCAATGGTGGAGAGACGGACTGGTCGAAGCTGGGTGAGGTGGATGTTGTGTTGGATTATGTCTACGGTGCTCCGGTCGTGGAACTTCTGAAAGCCTTGCCCAAGTCGGAGAAGGAGGTGCAGTATGTTCACATTGGCTCCGTGTCTGGCGATGGGGACATAAATCTTCCCGGGGCGATCTTGCGGGGGAAGAGGGTTGCCCTCCGTGGTGCTGGCCCGGGGAGCTGGCTCATGAGGGAGTATGCGAATGAGCTTGGTGGGATGGTTGGAGTGACTGCTGGATTGAAGGGCAAGGAAGTCAAGGTGATTGCGATGAAGGATGTTGAGAAGGGATGGAGCGAGGCAGGATTGGGGAAGACGCGCGTTGTTTTTGTAAGCGATGACCTCACGAAGTCATCTTGATCCTTGATAGTCTATGATTAGCGAGATGGAGGTCATGATACCTCAGTTAGATTGTTCAGTTGAGATCTCTCATTATGAGAGTTAGAGTATGTCATACGCATCACAAATTCGGACAATTTTCTTCGCAATTCTCGTAGCTTAGACTGACTATCTGGACGACTACTTTTTGTGACAGCTACATAAGCCAAGCCCACTTATGCTACAACTTCCGTTAGAACACAAGCACGAACTGCTGTCAAACGGGGCTACTAACAAGTGAACCACGGCGCACCAACAGCAGCCGCAACAGCCTGAGCCACAAGCTTCTGGATCTGCACGCCAGGGTGGTAGTCGTTGAACCACAAGCAACTAACGCCATCGGCATTATAGCACGTGGCATCAGGAGCGCCGTAAGCAGTCGGGTTGTTGATGGCCTTGTCAAACGCGGGAGTGGTATCGACAATCCAGGACGTGATGCCGGAGTTCTTGGCCTTGAAGGTCGCGAGGTTGCTGGTGACGAGGTCGTTGTACTGCTTGATAGCCGCTGCAAGCTGGGCGTTGGAGTCGGCGCCGTTGGCGAGCATGAGGGGCGTCTTTTGGGTTGCTGTGTGAACGTGTCGTCAGTCTTGATGAGCGGTCTCAACGCAAGGAGTAGATAAAAGGCCGAGGTCAAGACTCACGCGGAACACCAAGCAACACAAACTTCCTCACCCCGGCATCATACAAAACCTGCAACTGATCAAAATACCGCCCCAAAACCTGCACCAACAACGCCTCCCGGTTCGAAAGCCAAAACGCGTTTCCCACATCATTAACGCCCATCCACACACCCACCAGAGTGTTATCCGCCGTCCACGGTGCCCAGCTCGGCTTGAAGGCCAGACTGCGCGAGAACTCGGCCACCTGGTCGATGAAGCTGAGCACCGTGCTCGCATAGGGCGCGATGAGGCTCGCGTCCGTGGTGGCGCCGCCGTAGGCTAGGTTGTAGGAGTAGGTTAGGGAGGCGTTGAACTGGGTGGCCATGAAGCCGACCCAGTCGAGGCCGCCTGAGGCGGTCCAGCCGGGCAGGTCTGGGTTGCCGAGGGGGTTTTGGGGGTTGGGTTTTGTGGAGTTAATGTTGAAGCCTGTTTGGGAGTAGGAGTCTCCGCTGGGGGTTTGTTTAGTTGTGGTTTCTCTTGCTGTAAAACAGGTATGCGGTGTGACTTACAAGGTGATGAAGTACTTTGGCCCGGAAGGAGACGGGACGGAGGTGGCGGTTGATGTCGGGGCGCGGGATGAAGAGGCGGAGCGGACGGAGGTGGTGATGGTCGCGGCACGGCTGGTAGTCGAGGCCGGAACGCTGGTGGCTTTAGTGGAGGAGACGGCCGGTGCCGTTCCGGGAACGCATTGGTCTACAGAAAGTCAACTTTTGATGCCCGAACATCCATCCCCTTCACCGACTCGATGATACGCACAGTACCAAGCATTCTGGGAGGAGCAATACGCTCCAGAAGCACAGCTAGTTGAACCCGTCCATCCTGTGCCGCCGCACTGTCCCCAGACGGGAGCTTGCGCGTTGGCTGAGAGGGCCAGACCGGCAGCGACGAGGACGTATGCCGTGATACGAGCCATTGTCGTTGTGGATTGCGATTACAGAGGGAACAGACCAACCTACCACAAACAACCAAGGACCCAAAGATGGGCAACACGGCATGTCGTCTTTATATAGACATACGAACTTGCCCCCTCTTCCTTGAATACTACATCACCCCATCCCGCTTTCAGTGCTCTCCGGTGGGAACCTCCATCCGTGATCCGTCCGTGAACCCAATCCAAACCGGGAAGTTGGTCGAGCGGTGCTTCCGAAGCCATCAGTCCGCAGAGGCTCGTTCGAACCTGAAGGGGTTCCCTGCAATCATTGGGGGGGGGGATCGTCGGTATCTAGGGGACCCCTCCCCTACGCCCCCCGTTCGTGCGGAGATTCATCTCGTGCCTGGGAATAAACGGCAAGCTCGTAGGACCCAGGTCCGCGGTTCGCTTTGGTAAGTGTAAACAACTCGACCAAACCATAAGAGCAAACAACCAAGTGTAGAGAGGGGTGACGGATGGAGAGGAGGGGGAGACTAGGGCAAGAAAGCTTGAGAAGCACACTTGACAAGATGGAAGTGGATCATGGTAGGCCGGCAGGCCGGGTGGTAGCGTGGTGTTGATGCGAGGACGCGGAGGGAGGGCATCCCCAACCCCAAAGAGGCAACGGGCGGGATCCACATTGGATGCCACGGCCGGATGAGCGGGATCCTTCCTGGAAGTTGGGGTTCGGACGGTTCATTTGTCTTGCCCGAATGGTTATATTGCAATCTGTGGGTTTGGAAAGCTTAACATTTTGGGGGATGAAATGTGTTGATTCTTGATTCTCCTTGGTGGGCAATTCCTGGTCCGCTGCTCAACATGGATTGCCTGGCCATCTACCTTCAGAATGCTTCAGGAAGAGCATGGAGACTCCATCACAGCGAAGCCAAATTACAACCAGGAATCAAGATATGGGAAGACCAAAGTGAGGAACAAAATCTTTCAAGTTACTCTAACAAACAGCTATAGATATTTGTAGGGACTGTGGTATATCTCAAAGTCAAAAAACCAAACCAGGCATGAAGCAAAAAACAAACGACTTGATGAGCAAGTCACTGACCGAGTTCCAGATATTTCCATCTCCACATCTCAAGTATTCCTATCCAAGTCCAGAAAGCCATCCTTCCAGCCCAATACACCAAATCATACAAACAAATACAAAAAGATATCATAGCTGTAACAGACTTGACAAAGGAACAACCAATTTTCCCAACCACATCAAATCCATCCATCCACCAAACCCCAAGGCTGAAATGCATAGTAAAAACAGGAAAAGCAAAAAGTAAACGTGAAATGCAGCGCAGACATGATGGTACATAACATATTCTCAGAGGAGGTACTGGTAAGAAGATTTCACAGCCCTTCTTGGTTCCCCTCTCACTCTCGGGTCTAGCCCGTAGAGTATGGTATCGGCATTTTATGCCTTGTTCTTCTCCTTGATATAGCCATCAGCAATTTCAAGACACACTATTTCCAAAAGTCAGTCAAAGTCCAATAGGCAAAGATCAGAAGGGGAGAGAAACTCACACTTTGCAACGCTCGCGCTGCCCAGGATCTTCATCACAGAAACATCTCGCTCAATCACCTTCCAAAACCACCCCCTCACCTCCACAGCAACAAGCGAGTCCATGCCCAGCTCGCCAACGCTATGCTCTCCCTTGACGCTGCCCTCGCCTTGTCCGAGGACGACCTCGAGGTAGCGGGCAAAACCCTCAGTCAACACCGCCGCAACCTCTTCTGTACCGCCCTCGACGGTCTTGATTTTCTCCTTGAGACTCTGCTTGCCCTGGCCCTCGCCCTCGTTACCCTCATCATCATCCTCAAAGGTGAAGTGTGAGAAGCGCGGGTCAATCTGCCAGTGCAGCTTGTCCTCGCGGTTAGCATTGTACCGGCTGAGACCAGTTGTAATATCGTAGATTTGGCCGTCGAGAGGGCGGCCCGCGACAATGGCCTCGAGAAACATGTGGTGGATGTCGCGCTCCGAGATGGGCGGGTATCCGTCCTTCTCGAGGAACGCGTAGATGTCGGTGCGCTCGCGGTGGAGGAGACCCAGGCCGTAGATGACGCCAATGTTGAGGACCGAGCCTGCCAGGCCGCGGATGCGACGGTTGGCGGCGAGACCGTTCATGTACATGTTGGCTGCGGCGTAGTTGGACTGTCCGCCGTGACCGCCGGGCGCAGCAAAGGAAGAAGTCATGATGAAGAACTCCATGTCGGCCTCGCAGAAGATCTCGTCGAGGTTGCTTGAGCCAACCGTCTTGGGACGCATGACCCTGTTCCAGGTCTCGACGTCCATCTGCGCAAACACACGATCGTCAAGTACCATGGCACCATTGATGACACCAGCGACCGGCGGCATCTCCTGCGCTAGTCTCTGCTTGAAAGCCCGCACGCTCTCGATGCTGGTGACGTCGAGCCTCTCGATGCGCACTTCGCACCCCTTGTTGCTGAGGTCCTCAATCCACTGAGGCTGCATATTGGGGTTACGACTTGCGAGAACAATGTGGCGCGCGCCGTGCTCGAAGAAGAGATTGCATAGACTCTGGCCCATGTCGCGCGTCAGGCCGACGAGGACGTACGTCTTGTAAGGGCGGAGGAGCTGCGTGCCAAAGAGGGGCTTGGCGATGTGCTGCACCTCGCGCTCGGCGCGCCAGTCGAGGATCTGGAAGGGCTTGCTGCTGCCGGTGTGGTCGAGGAGTTGAGGGACGGAGATGGTGTCCAGGGTCGGGTAGCCGATACGGCCGTTCATGCTTCTGACGTTGGTGATTGCCTTTCCGATGGCAGTCTCCCAGAGGTGCTCAATATCCATGGAGTCACCCAGGGCGACGACGTGCTCGGAAGTCAGGAGGGAGAAGCGAGAGTGGTACTCGCAGTTCTCGGGAAGGCAGTCGAGGATGGTCTCGGAGAGCTCGCTGCCCTCGGGGAGGAAGTCGATGACGGAAGCTCCGTCGGCAGGGAAGAGTGCCTTGAGCTGGCGATTGCTGGCGTAAGGGTGGATGTAACGCTGGCCAAAGGACTTGCGCTTCGATCCGCTGGTGGTGCAAGCAATGACGTTCGCACCCTTTGCCTCAAAAACCTCCTTCATGCACTCCAAGAGAGCGACATCAGGCTCCAGGAGAAGCACAGTCTGCTCCATCATGTCTTCAGCGACAGACAAGGCCACAAGGTATCTCAGGACGAGACCTAGCAAAAGCTTGGGCTCAATGTTGCTACTGCTGAGCTGGAAGACACAAGAGTTGGGGACAGTAACGTAGGACGAGTTGGACTTGGTCATGGCAAGGCACAGCTCGCCGGAAGTGACTTCCTTGCCGATGCAGACGTGGGAAGCGTACTTGAGTCCAAAGTTGATGACCTCGACTGAGCTGTACTTGACTTGGATGACGCTCTGATCGGGGATCGCCACAGCATCATCAATGTCAGTCTCCTCGACAATGTTGGCAGTGTAAACGGCGGATCCATCGCCAGACTGGGCAGAGATAACCTCGACGCATTGCTTGAGAGTGTTGGCCTCGTCAGCAACAAGTCGGCGAGGGCAGTTGACACGGTCGT